GTCTCACTTGTCGGAGTTGCCGCGATCAATTGCGCATTTTTGGAAGAGGTGTAGATGATGGCTTCGGCTGCAGCGCCTGCTTCCGCGAGGCCGCGTGAGACTGCGAGGCCGATTCCACGACTGCCGCCTGTTACGGCGGCGACTTTGCTTTGGAGCGAGAATTGGCTTAGGACAGGAGCATTAACGTCTGATGGCTTTGGCCGGACCATAATCTAGTGTGTGATATTTTGAGAAACCCGAATATCTTCACCGAGTCCTGTCCAGAAGGTTGCTCTCATGAAGCCAGTCCATGGTGGATATCATGCCGCTCGTGTTTTTCGACAAAGACCCACAATGGCATGTATAAGGGCGCCGCAAATATCTGGAAGTAGAAAAGAGCAGCTCGTCTGATGGATTGCAATGTTGTTGCGCAAATCCGAGGTCTGTTGAACGTGGGTCTAAGAACGACATCGATAACGGGCTTGTGGTGTAGAGACCAGAACGAGCAGGCGTACATGTGAGCACCTGCTCTATATACCATAACATCCGCGCTCCCATTTCCCCATCGTCAAAACATATACCTGGATCATATCGCTGTCATTTCTTCAATATACGGCCACTGCCACCCAAATTAGACAACATTACTGAAGTAGTAATTTGGCGCGCCGGTGAGGTGCATCTCAAACGCACAATGACATGGCGCGATTCTCCCCACCTTCATCCCCGCGTTTGCGCAGCCATCGTCGCCAGAGTGGACTCAGACTTGCACTTTCGTTTATGTACCAGGACGTCCATACAGGACTGCTTCCGATGTCGTTGATTGTCGTCCTCGAGCACTTTCGTTCCGGCATCTCTCGTGTGTCAATTTCGGGACTCAAGTTAACTCAGAGTCAATCCAACAGGGAAATAATTTACCATTGAAGCTATCGCAAAAGCACCGCATAATGACCACCGTTACGGCAGCCATGACAGTAAGAAAAGCAGCACGAAATGCACATTGAGTGGTACCTATTGTTGACCTCGCCAACAGAATCCCGCATTCGTTCTGCGCGCGGTGAAAGACGTAGGCATCGAAGATCGACCTATTCCAGAACTGCGCGAGGAGTACGAAGTCCGCGTTCATGTGGCTCAGACAGGTATCTGCGGCTCAGACGTGCACTATTGGCAACGCGGACGTATCGGCGATTTCATACTCACCAGTCCCATCATCCTCGGCCATGAATCGTCCGGCGTCGTGGTTGAATGCGGGAGCAAAGTCAAGAACCTAAAGAAAGGCGATCGAGTGGCGATAGAACCTGGAGTACCTTGTCGGAGGTGTGATTATTGTCGAGATGGTAGGTCACTGTATTGTCTCTTCTGTGGGGTTTCTAATCCGTCGCGCAGGCGCCTACAACTTTTGCAATGACACCATTTCGCTGCAACTCCTCCATGGGATGGTACTTTAGCCAAGTACTACACCGTGGCAAGCGACTTCTGCTACCCCATCCCCGATCATATGGACATGGAGCAGGCAGCAATGGTGGAACCCGTCGCATGTGCCGTACAGATGTGCAAAGTCGCCGGTCAACTCGCCGACAAAGCTGTTGTCGTCTTTGGCTGCGGAGCCATCGGTGTCCTATGTCAAGCAGTTGCCAAAGCACAAGGCGCACGCAGAGTCATTGGTATCGATCTTTCGCAGGCAAGAGTGAACTTTGCCAAAGACTTCTCTGCAGATGAAGCCATTCTCCCCCCTCGGCCAAGTGGAAATTTTGATGAACCGATTCAGCGCTCAGAGAAGGTCGCGGGGATGATGAAAGAGCAGTTTGGACTGGGTGAGGGTGCGGATGTGGTGATTGAATGTACCGGTGCTGAGCCTTGTATACAAGCTGGCGTCTATGTGCTCCGAAAAGGAGGTACGCTTTCGCAGGCAGGCATGGGCAGAGAGGTCAGTAAAAGTGCTCAGATGATTCGGTATCTTACCGATGCTGACTCCGTATTTCAGAACATTACCTTTCCAATCACGACGGCCTGTATCCGTGGCTTGACGATCAAAGGCTCCATCCGATACACCCATGGCTGCTATCCAACGGCAGTGAATCTTGTTGCTTCGGGCAAGATTGATGTTAAACGACTGATCACCAATCGTTTCAAGTTCGAGGAGGCCGAGAAAGCTTTTGACTTGGTTAAAGCTGCCAAGGAAGGTGTTTTCAAGGTGATAATCGAAGGAGTTCAAGGTTGAAGTAGCCCTGCCGCGGCGCCGCATGAGAGCCTTCCAGCATCTCGAAGAATCGCCCCGCCATTCATGGTCATAGGAGAAACCGCCGAATAGAACGTAGGCTGCTGTTATGCATATCCCTAGAGATTGTGTACACGCTATCGCTCCCATCCTTGTGATCCAAGCATTTGATCGTTGTCAAACCACGGGATCGAAGCAAAGCCAGCTTTCGGGATGGAATCTCTGATCAACCATAGCGTACGAATCCTGCGAATCGACCCACTAAGCGCCCCGAGATGACGTGCACTTCTGCCAAGGTCGTCCCCGTCTGATTACATTGTCGCGGAGTGTCGGGACTCTACCCCAGATCATCCCCCGTAACCTATGCGCAACCCCGGAGTGCGGGGACGAATCGGCTTATCCCATGTGGTTAAGAACCGCCTGATAGCAACTGATCGAGAGTACAGGAGCTCGGTATTATCGAGGAGAGCAATTTGTTGAGAAAGTAACACGGCAAGAAACCCCGGGACAGCTTTCCCCGAGTAATGGTTTTTCTTGTGATGGATTCCCAAAGTTCTTGGTATATATGTCAATCTTCATACCCTTATTGATATCCAGATCACTTCTCAATCTTTTAACCGTCTCGAAGTCCTCTTAAAACGAATCTTTCCCCACATCGGTTCGCAATATGAAGGACTCGGATATTGTAGGCCCAGCGCTTGCAGAGGTGCTTCCTGTGACAGATCGATACTGGTTCCAAACATCGCATCTTCTGCGACTCAATATGATTCTGCTGGTCCCTCTGCTTTCTTCGGCAGTTGCAGGTTACGATGGTATGCCTGCTTCATCTTCATATTTCGCATGGGTCACCAGAAGCTGACAGTACCACAGGCTCCCTAATGAACGGGCTCCAATCGTTGTCCCAGTGGAAAGATTATTTCGGCAATCCACAGGGTGCTCTTCTCGGTACCATCAACGCAGCGCAATCCATCGGTTCCGTGATTGCACTTCCGTCAGTTGGCTACTGCTCCGATAAGTTTGGAAGGAAGCCGGTCTTGGTGGGTGGACTGCTCGGTATCGTTGTCGCGACCGTGATCCAAGCCTCTTCGACCACATTGGCCCAGTTCATTGTCAGCCGGCTGATCGTTGGTGCGGCTGGCATGTTCGTCGCTTTGCCGTCGCCTCTTCTCATCGCGGAGCTGGCATACCCGACTCACAGAGGCAAGTACACAGCGTCTTTCTGGTGCATGTACTATCTCGGAGCCATACTGGCAAGCTGGACGACCTTCGGGACTGGGACATACTCGGATACATGGAGCTGGCGAATTCCCTCCATAATGCAGGCGGCTTGGCCTATCGTCCAGCTTTTGTTCGTGTTTTGGGTTCCAGAGTCCCCGAGATGGTTGGTTTCAAAGGAACGGACGGGAGAGGCGATTGACATCCTAGGCCGGTACCATTCAGGCGGGGATGCTGGGAGTCCACTTGTCATTCGCGAAGTCCGGGAGATCGTTGAGGCTATCCAAGTGGAACAGGACTCGAGCGCAACACACTGGAGAACCCTGATCGCCACTCCAGGTAATCGGAAACGTCTTTCCATAACGGTATTCTTGGGGATCTGTTCTCAGTGGAACGGTATTGGCGTAGTTTCCTACTACCTTACACTTGTGCTGGACACCATTGGTATAACGGCCTCATTCGATCAGACCTTGATCAACGGTTTATTGCAGGTAACAGTGCTATTTACTCCACGAGATCGAACCTTGGCTGACGTGCCAGATATTCAACCTTGCCGCAGCACTCGCTGGTGCTTTTCTCGTCGATCGTCTGGGACGGCGGACGCTATTCACCTGGTAACACATGCCCAAAATTCTGATGAGACCCAAAGACTGACGTGATCTAGGTCCGGAATCGGTATGCTGGTTTCGTACATCATCTGGACAGCATGTTCCGCCATCAGCAACACAACCGGCGACAAAGCCGCCGGCATCGTCGTCATCGTCTGCCTCTTCACCTTCTACTTCCATTACGACATTGCGTACACGCCGCTCATGCTCGCCTATCCCGTCGAGCTCTTCCAATACAGTCTTCGGTCCAAGGGAGTTACATGCGGCATGATAAGCGTGTACAGCTGCCTAGTCATCGGCGCCTTTCTGAACCCCATCGGCATGGAAAACATCGGATGGAAGTACTACATCGTCTTCTGCTGCTTCCTCGTCACTTTCCTCGCTGTCACTTACCGCTTCTTTCCTGAGACCAAGGGCCATAGCTTGGAGGAAATTGCGGAGATTTTCGATGGCCCTGGAGCGGCGGCTGACGTTCCGTTGGAGAAGCGTCGGTTCGGAAAAGCTGATGAAGCATTGGTTGATGGTGCGACTCACGTTGAGTCTGTCCAGGCCCAGACTGTGTTTACCTGGGAGCGAGACCGCTAAGTTAGGTAAGCCGGATCAGGAAGTGCGCGAGAGCCCGCACGGCATTAGTACAACAATTCAATGAGATAGATGGTGAAATAGATGGCGATAAGTTGCAGAAACGTTTTCTCGCCTCTATCTACATCATCAAGTATCGAGGATCCCTGAATCCCTCTTGCCTTCACGTCTTGTCACTATTGGGCGCAATTAACAAAACAATTCACCTACAGGCTGCTAAATATAGGCAAGATCACAGAATTGACTTTATCTTCGCCCGAATAAAAAGATAATCATTGCTAGTTAGTTAACCAAAATGGACATCTCAGTACTTGCTGTTAAGAGGGCAGGCAACTGAAATGCAGCGTCACCGAGAGCAAAAGTGAAAGCCTGTAGGTGTCTGCAAGGCAGAAGAACAAAAATTCCGTGTCGGGGAATTGAACCCCGGCCTTGTCGGATCACATTATCATGAGAGCGACAAATCCTAGCCACTAGACCAACACGGATAATATCGAATAGTTGTTGTAACTTGATGGAGATCGAATTGGCTGCAAAAACTATATAACAAAACAATTGTCTCATTAAGCTAGACAGGGTGAATTCACGCTTTTTTTTTTTTTTTCAAGAGCCTCACAAGCAATTCAATCCGCTTATATGTGCGAATCACAGTCCTCAACATTCCCCTGCAACCGACCTGAACAGTGCTCGAACACCCCCGGAACACGGGATCCCAACCAACACCACGCGGGGCTCCGACAGCACGATGCCATTCTCGCAACTCGACGAATGGAATAATTTTTCTGTCTTTCGCGAAACAAATAGAAATGTCGGCAGAGTGACATTTTTGACGACTGGGCAACACGACTAAATTGACGTTGGACTCGACCTCCTGCCTCCTCCGATAGATACGACAAGAACGTTGACACGCGACGCAGCACGCCCAACGACCAGGAAATCAACCAATCAAGCGCTCAACCACCCGTCAAACCAATCGCCTCGACCGCGCTGAACGGCGACCACGGCAGCCGTTGACGCGAAAGTGCTTTGCTTTGAGAAGCGCTCGACATTAACGATGAGCGGTGATCGACGGGGGTTCAGCGTACGTCAACGAGAGCATATCTTCTTCCTCAGGCAGCAGTGCAGAAATGCCGACGGCAGACGGCGACAGATCAGAGGGTATGTGTGTGGCGTCTGGCGTACGCAAACTCTACGACGCTTCCCTGTTTCCGCGTTGCCAGCGTTGCTGCCGCTGGCTGCTGTCACGTAACGTACCGTTGACCACAGGCGGCGCGGACGGCGTGGATCACCCGTCTTGCACGAGCTTGGATTTTGCATTCCCATTGAAGAAGGAAAAAGGGGTGGGGAGAGCCGCTGCTTAAGTTAGACTTTCTTCAACAGTCTGAGATGCCAGTGGGCTTGCGATAGACTGCTAGAGAGAGGTGGTGCTTGTTCGCTTCGACTGCTGAGCCTGGGTATCCGAGTCCCGATCGAAACGCGCAGTCGAAGCAAAGTAGAATTGCATGTCTACTATCTCGAAGAAGGTCCTGATACGGCTTCTCGGGTTATTGGTGTAGGTCTCGACGTTATGTACGGGTCGGTTGGTTCTTGGAACAAGCGGAGACAGTACCAACCACCGATGGTGACGAAGGATCATCGAGCTGTGAAAAGTGCCAATGCCCGCGGATACGACGATGGCGGACCGAATGACAAATGCCGACTACGTGCGATGCGGTTCTGGGGGTCCACTGGTGACATGCATCATCAGCAGCTACAGGAGTCGGTATATCGCAGTTCAGACAAGCGCCGCTGGGTAACTGGTAGAAGCATGAAAGTATGTACCCCAACGAAACAGTCGTCTGAGAATGTACAATGGCCCATAAACGAACCATCCGAAGATGCCTGAGTCCGCCCCAATGACCCTCCCAAACGCCTGTAAATGCCATGTTTGCACCACCTGCGTCGCTCGAACGCAGTATGCCGCAGATTGAAGCGTTGCAAATTTCCACACAAAAGAAAAGAGCTCGGAAAGGGAATCGAGCAAACGGCGGAGATGCGTGGACGCGGCTACCAATTATACACCCAGCCGGCGTTGCTCTCGAAGAACTCGTTGCAGGCGTCGCGAAGCAGGATGTTGGGCCTGAGATCCTCAATTCTCAGAGGCTCCCTCGTCATTGGGTCTGTAGGACTGCGCTTGAGGTGCTCAATCAAGGTAGCGCGTTCGTACGAGTGGCCGTTCTTGGTGATGACAGCTAGTAGATGGAAAGAGCGGTCAGTTCGGTTTGCAAAGCAGGATCAAGCTGGAGGGAGAAGGAGGAAGTCGGACATGTGACGGGGCCGGAATAGGCAAAGAAACAGGGAAGCGTACGATCGTGCATAATCTCAAAGGTGATGTTGTCGATCAAGTGATCTGGCACCTCCCTCTTCTCCATCTCATCCGGATTGGCAATGGCAAACAGATTCCGGAGATCCTCGATTTTCTGATCATAAGACTGCCGGAGAGCGGACCGGTCTTCGACAGCTTGGACCGGACCAATCTCGCCTCTGCTCGCCTTTTCGCTGATCACGGCTTGCTCTTCATTCGCTGCGGCTTCGAGCTTATCCTCGAGTTCGGCGAGTAATGGTGCTTTGCGGCGCCTTCTGTCCCGCTCGCGTAGCTCCCACTTCGCCTTCTTGCACTGCAGGACTAGGGCGGAGATGGTGGCGGCGTCGCGAGTGGGAGTTTTGCTTCTGATGCATAGGTCGTAAGCGGTTAGGGCGGATGAGAAAGCCTCGTTCGGATGGTGGAGGGCGAGCTGGGCGCGGGCTATGAGTGGGCGCTTGTGGTCAGCCTCGGTCGTCTGGAATGCTACCCACACCTAAAAGTAGGCCGCCACGACGGGAAAGAAAGTCGAAGTCGTTTTTTCTCGTACCGGGCTTTTGACGTGGGAAATGCGTTGGCAAGACGGAAAAGCAGAGAGAGGGCGCATCCGCATCCTAACTACATAACTTACCCAGGTAGGTGAAGGCCTTTAGGTTGTCTCGGACCAGCTCGACGCTCCGCAGACAGTCGTCGACGACACCTTCCCACTGCTCCAGCTTCATCCGCGCATTCGCCCGATTGGTGAAGAGCTTCTCGTTTGTCGAGTTGCGCTGGATGGCCTGGCCGTACAGCTGCTCGGCGCCGGCATAGTCGCCCTGCTTGAAGAGGGCATTGCCCTTGTCCTTGAGCTGCTCGGCCGTGTGGGCCATCTGGTTACGGCGCGATGATGAGTGCACTCGTACACCGGACGACGGGATCGTAACGTTTGGACGGGTCGCGTGGACTGGGACTTGAAGCTCGTCGAGCAGCCGACGAGGGGTCGTGCGACGATTTGTACAGCTCGGCGGGGTGGAAAGTTCTAGCAGGGAGAAGGGCGCATTTGTAAGAGCGGTGATGCGACCTGCGGGAGGGGGGAGCAGTGAAGCGCTGTGGTTAATGGGGACGGGATGTCAAGTCGCGAACGTCCTCTGCAGTATTGCCTTGTCCATCTGCGGTTGTGGTATCCATCGTGGGCGAACGACTTGGTTCATCGTCGCGCGTCTGAAGCTGCCGGGCCGCCGCAGCTCATCAGCCTTAGTGCAGATGGGAGAGGAGCGCACGAAGAGCGGACCGGCCGTGACCAGCGCGCAAGAGCTTTATCATAAGGAATAAGGATGCAACGAACTGCTGGTCTCGCAAGGGAAGCGAGACGGAAGAAGCAGAGGGAGTTCAGATGGCATCGCGTGGCGCACGTGACCTAGTGGAACAGCCCGATAGAGGATCAGATGGTCTTGGGAAACGGGTGGCTCTCGTGCACTGTCGACACGTCTTGTTCACTTTGACGCTGCAGTGGCGGTCTGGCCGAGAGTCAATTCGCAGCAGAGTGAGTTTACATGGAATCGCGTGGTGCACGTGATCTGATAGAGACTAGCCTGATAGAAGATCAGATGGTCTCAGGGGAAGAGGCGGCTCTCGCGCTCTCGTGCACTGTCGACGCGTCTTGTTCACTTTGACGCTGCAGTGGCGGTCTGGAGAAGAGCCAATTTGTAGTAGAGGGAGTGAACAGGGCATCGTATGACGCACGTGATCTGGTGGAGACCAGGCCGATAGAAGATCAAATAGTCCTCTCGTGCGTTGTCAACGCGTCCCGTCCACTTTCTTGCTGCAGTGGCGGTCTGGATATAAGAGCCAATTTGTAGTAGAGAGATTTCATATAGCATCGCATAACACACGTGACGTAGTGGAGACCAGGTCGATATAAGATCAGATGGTCTTAAGAAAACGGGTGGCTCTCGTGCTCTCGTGCGCTGTCAACGCGTCCTGTCCACTTTCACGCTGCAGTAGCGGTCTGGATTGATGAGAGCCAATTCGCAACGTTGACCGTCCTCCACGATGCAAGTGGCGCGTGATACAGACTACAGCTACAGCTACAGGGCAGTCTTTCTCGCTGCCCCTGTGACAACGGGCGACGACGGCGCTGTTCGGCCCGGTGTCTCAGCCGACTTGGCCAACAAACTCGCACGACTCGTCGGCCCTCCGCAACCCCGCAGACTCCCACAAACACCAACGCAACGCCTCACCCTCACCCTCACCCTCATCACCCTCACCCTCACCCTCCCCCTCCCCTCGCCCTTCGTTGTCAGCCCTTAGCTGCATGCATCGTCGCCTGCGTCTGCTGTTGCGCTCCTGATCACTTTCCACTGCAGCGCTCTGATGCCCAATAACCTTCTCGACATCTGCCCGACAACTGCGAGATGGACTTCACTGAAGCCCGTCCCACGCCAGACTGTACCAGACGGTGCCAGACTCTGCCATCGCCCGGAGCTCCCTCGAAAGAGAAGGTGGTATCACTGCCAGCTCGGACTTGACGCGACATGCGGTTAAGAGCTTGACGTCTGGTGTTTGCTTCATCGCTGCCGTTCGTGCTGCGGCCCGAGGCCCTCATCTCCTCGCCCGCCAGTCATAACAGCCGAACCATGTCCAGCGTGAGCCGGTGTGCTCCTCCCCACAAGCCTACCGCAACGCCGATGACCTTAATCCCACACGTGGCGCCGAAGCTACCTTGCCCTCCGCTGCGGGAATGCTGATGAGAGCCTCTATAGCTGTCCGCCCGTCATTTCTTTGTCTGCCTTCATGACCACTCATCCCACAAGCCCTGCCATGTGCGCAACTGTCAGCCGTCTCAACCTCGAGTACAACTTTCTCCATCCTTGCAAGCTTGCCTTTCAACTGTCATCTCGTTCAAGCCACAGCGCGGTTGCTTCTTAGCCAGATTTCTGCCCCGCGGCCAATTTAGTCCTTTCTTCAAACTTCCAGCCAATCACCATCTATTTTTCTGTATTCACATCTCGCGCCTTTGGCGTTGGCACCAGCCCTGCGAACAGCACGCCACTAGCCCATCTGCCTGACGGGCGAAACCCGGTCAGCAAGGCGGTATGGAACATGCGCCTCGGCCGGCTCGGTACTCCTTACCGTGGGCTTCATTGGCCCCAGTGGCGGGCAGATGAG